AATATAATATAATATAATATAATATAATATAATATAATATAATATAATATAATATAATATAATATAATATAATATAATATATGGGGCAAATACATATACCGGTATTTGTCCCATGTATTGGAAAGCTTACTTAGACATGAATTTATAATTAAGATAAAAGAAATATTAATATCCATTATATTTAAATATAAAAATGTCTTTGTGCTTTTAAGAACTCATTTGAATCCATATCAGGAAATAAGAAGGAAGAAGATATTTAGTTAGAGTTCACACAATGTACTAAAGGACTAACTAGCCAAACTAATTGTACATGGCGTGAAAATGTAGCATATATGATTAATTTGTAACTCCATGTATTATATGAATCCTCGTCATGGATAATGTTAAGTATGCATGTGTAATGCTACCCTAGCCATTTTGAAGGTAAATATATCACTGAATATTAAGCAATTTTAACTCAGGTTCCCTTTCTCCCTCTTTTTCCTCTATTTGTTTCCACATCTTAGGCATATGTTTCAAGTCAAGTTCTACAGTAAACTTAATTCAGATGATTTCTAAGTCCGAATTCTAAAATCTTACCTGGTAAGATTATCATAGTCAATGTTGATATAATTAAACAATTTGGTATTAATCCATTAGACATATACTGGTAGTATTTCAAGGGACCAAAGTAGACTTTAAGAAACTTTGAGTTCTAGTCTTCCTTAGGTATGAAAGTTAGCTGTGTGATCTTGGGCCAGCCAATCTCTCAGCTCAACTCATTACACAAGGTTGTTGTGGGCAAAACAGATCAAGGAAGGAGTATTAGGTATGTTCGGCATCATGAGTTATTTATAAAAATAGTAAAGGCTACACACAAAACTATTCCTAAAACAGAGCTCTCATCCCAGATTTTTTAAGCCCACTACATAAATCTCAGCCCTCTTAAGAAGACAGCACAACATCCCTTAACCTAGATACAATAAATTCAAAGATGAGTATTCTGAAAAACTAGTAGCTAAAAACTATTTTGAAACTAGTAGCTTGTTGTAAAATAGGATCAAGTAGGAAAAGCTCACAATGCTACCTCAAACATTTATATGTCAAACATAGGCTTATTAAAATAAATTTTAACATTTCTTTATAGAGTTTGCTTGTTTGTAGCATTGGTTCAATTTATGTCACAACTAGCTGTTCAGCAAAATCCTGGCTGCTCTAAAATAACTTGTTTCATTCTTATTCCCCTTCACTTCTTTTCTTATTTTCTATTAGGCCTTATCTCTCTAGTCCCACCCCGCACCCCCCCCAAAAAAACACCTCATAATCTATATAGTAAAACAAAGTTGCAATCTCAAGTAAAATAAAAATAAAGGGAAAGAAATGAAATAGAAAATGAATGGCCAACAGCCCAGCTCCAGAGTCCACTAAACAGCAGGTCTTTTTAATTGAATAACTAAAACCAAAATAGAGAGGGGGAAAATCTTCTTTGCCTATAATGTGCTGTCTCACTCTGAGCACTCACTAGGATGCAGCCCATTAAAGGAACATCTCCTGGAGATAAACTTCTTATTAAAAGTAACTGATACCTGTATGTAAAACCTAACCCTTGCCACCAAAGGATGTATTCCTGCTATTATGAAAAAGTATTTCTCCAAAGTAAAAAAAACCTGTACATTTGTGGTATATATAGCAATAGTTCTGAACAATACTCCATACATTACAAATATATAAGGTTTTTAAAAACTGGCAAAAAGAGCTGGGTATGTTTGGTATATGAATCATCTTAAAAATGAATATATATTATTGAATGAAGGAAAAGATAATGTTAAAATTTCTTCATTTGCAGCAAAGTCCAAATTTACAAAACAAAATAATTAAAAGGTTTCTTTTAATGCATTCACAGCATTATATCTAGACACTGCAAAAGTTTTATCAGATTCCATTATGCCTATGGAAATACAATAGACAAAATCCAATACATTCTGCAGCACATTATTCTCTGTAACTGTTAAGTACCCAGCTCTATGTAGACTCCTGCTAAGAAAGGTGAAAGAGGACCGTACATGATAATGAAACCAGCATGGACATTGTTTGCATTAACGGTAGACCTGTTCCGGAGATGTGTGGTGTCACCCACGCCTGCATTTACATTCCATTTTGCTTTTGAAAGCTATTATCAGACAGGTGCCTCACCATGAATGCTGTCACTTTAGGCATGTCCTCACTAAAGAGAACACTTCAATTGATTTTGTGCTTTCACAGCAAAAGAAAATGAAAGCATACAGTACAACCAGCAAGTTATGTCAATTTGAAGAAAATAAACTTCTCAATGTCCATGCGTATTATCAACCCCTGGTTCCAAGAAGTAACCAGGATCTCGTTGATTCCCTATTTGCCATAATTCAATGTGGAACACAAAAGCCCATTCAATTATAGTACAATGTATCTGAAGCAGTGGTGGGATTCAATTTTTTTTTACTACCAGTTCTGTGGGCATGGCTTGGTGGGCGTGGCAGGGGAAGGATACTGTCCATTCAGAGGTGGTATTTGCCGGTTCTCCAAACTACTCAAAATTTCCGCTACCGGTTCTCCAGAACTAGTCAGAACCTGTTTAATACCACCTCCGACCTGAAGAGATGTGACAAAAAAGATCTGTATATGAATATCAAACCTGGATGGTAATTTCAAACTGGCCGTTTAGGACTTTACACTGTAGTTCTTCACTGAAGAAACTGCCATTCTGAAGCAGACTGAACAATTAAAGTAATTGTTATCATCCTTAACTATTGTTATCTCATTCCATGAAGTAGGCTTTGGCTTAAATCTTGTTCAGTCTCTCTGTGATTAGACATTAGACTATCGATCCACCCTTAAATGTATACTGACCCTCTCCTGCAGCTCAAAATCATTAAGCTCATTAACATGAACCTTTGAGATGCCTGTCTGTCATTATTACATTTCCAACTAAGCAATTTTTGAATTGAAATAAATTCTAAAGAATCCCAGGGTTTCCTGAACACAGCTTGAAAATCAATGAATTAAAAGGAAACAAAAATAAAAACAAGATGAGCATGCTTACACGGATAATGTATATGTATCCCTTACCATCTATTGGAGTTAGAGAAAGCTTCAGATCATTCTGTGTAGTTCCAGACACCAGTCCTGATACTGGCCTCTGTAAAAACTGTGGTTTCATCTCAAAACCTGCTAGCTTTTCTTTGGATCTTATTCCATCAAACTGGTCAATGTGAAGAGGTTTAACCCTATTGTCATAAGGATAAATTCCTTTAGTCCTGCTAACAGATGAATCTTCATCAAGGTTTTTGGCTGATAACTTCTGAGTGATATATGCATTAAGTGTCATCAATAAATCTTTCCTGTCTAATTTTTCTTCAGGTTTTAGTTGAAATGTATCCATCTGTGATTTGCTGAAGCTCCTCGCAGGAATGTTTTCAATATACTTTGAATGGACAGGTACAGAAAAGGTCATAGCAGGTGTTTTTCCTTTAGAATTCTGCATCATATAATTGATCATGGACCTTGGTGGAATGTTGCCAACCTAACAGAAAAAAGATAAATTGTATTAGAATTATTCTTAGGTTAATCCATTATAATCCACCAAAATGTTGATTATAACATTCAACTCTGTAGGAATGCACATAGTTGATTCTTCTGTTTTGAGCAGGAAGAAGATAACTTATGTTATATTTACCAATGGATTCTTTTCAACCTGTATATATAATATAAAAACATTCCTTACTGTTTACTTATTATACAGTAGGCATATGGATACAATATATTTTTTCCTATATTTAAAGAGGGATTTATGAAGCCATTGAAATACTAATCTCTTAACTGTTTCATCATTCTAGTTTTTGAGCATTTAGAATAATAGGAGCTTGATCTTAAGTTAAGTTAAAATTAAAATCCTCATGTTCTTTGTTTTTTTTAAATTTTTATTGGTTTTTAAAACAAACATAAACAAACAAAACATAAAAACATCAAGCCATCTTCCATATATATACATACAGTGTGCCGGTTGGTTTACAAATTGTTTTGTGCTTCCATTTCGTTGTCTTAAATTACAATTACATTGTATATACTCTCATATTTTCAATCAAATATTAAATACATTAATATCATTATTAAACAATCATTTGACTATACTTTTATTCATTCGTGTTTTATGAAATAATCATATTTTACTTAATTTGTTTTATGACGGTTCATATTATCACCCCAGATCTATCCTAAAATCATTTTGTAGATATAATAAGAAAAGAATACGTCTTTATATATTTATTATTTTCTAAAAATCTACATATTACATTACTATATTTAATTGTCTAACCGTTGATAGAATAGATCCCAAATTTTATAAAATTGTTTTTCATCTTGTTCTCGAATTTCAAATGTCAATCTGCTCATTTCAGCACATTCCAATATTTTCTTAATGATTTCTCCTGTGATGGTGTTTTCTCATTTTTCCAGTTTTTAGCAAATACAATCCTAGCCACTGTTAATACATTTACAATCAGGTATTTCAAGTCTTTACTATATATTTCAGGTAAAATTCCTAATAAAAATATCTTTGGTTTCAAATCTATATGCTTTTTTGTCATTTTTTCCAACCAGATGTGGATTTTAGTCCAATATTTTTTAGCATCCGCACATGTCCACCACATATGGTAATATGAGCCAGGTGTCTGATGACATTTCCAACATTTTTTGGATTTATTCTTAAACATTCTTGCTATTCTTGTTGGGGGGAAATGCCACCTGTAAAACATCTTATACAAATTTTCTTTATATGCTGTTGACATTGTCATTTTATAATTTTGAGACCACAGTTTTTGCCATCATGTTCTTTGTTAAAATGCAAAGAAACTTCCAAATCCATGAAAATGAAATAGAAATATGCTAAAGAAATGGAAAGAACATATCAGCAGTCTGTAGGGTAACTGAAGAGTTAAAGGTTATGAATACTGTTTTATTAAAAATAACAAGAAATCCAAGGAAGGGAAGGAAGGATTGTTATTAATCCTTTGTTATTAAAAACAGTAAGTTTTAAACATTAAAAAAAAACCATGTAGTCACTAATGGTTAGTAATGATTTGATAGAACATGTCAGCCTTCTCAGGCAACGTAGCCAGATGAGCTAATTCTGCTTTAATGTAAAGCTACATCTACAGAATCTTTCTGTCTAAAAGTACAAATTTCTCACTATCTTGTTTTATAGCCTAATACATTAGGGAGGATCTTTTTTCAGTTTCTTTCTCTGCCCTTTGGCAGCTTTGGACTCCCAGTCCCTTATCTGATTGCTCCCTAGCCACCATATCTTCCCACCCTCCCAAGGTCTCCCAAAGTCATTCACACATAACATTACGTCATGTAATCAATCAATCAAAATTTAAATAACTTAAAGACAAAACATTTTAGTTGTTTTCTTATGTATTCTTAGACATTATTTCAATAATATAATTCATATCCAGAATGGTATAAAGTATAGGCGAAATAAATAGGGATTGAAACTAAATTAATACTGGTTTGCAGATGGATGTTATTTAAAATTGCATTTTTGAAGTTTATTTCCAGAAATTCAGATGCTAAACATGTCATTATTGTCCAATTCTGAATATCACCTTTCCTCCAATTATTCATGAAGGAGGAAGATTTTGTGGGGTAAGCAATGAAAGGGAAGGTGAATGGGAAAAGCTGTCAGAAACCCCTTTTCGGAGAGATTGGGGTTCTTTCAATATCACTTTTCCATTATGATTCCACTTTTCCTATGACAAGACAACTAAACCTAAGCAGTCATCTAAGGCAGAGTACTCTGTTCCTATGATGCAAAACCTTATAGAACACAGAATAGCAGGATTTGAAGGGACTTTGGAAGTCTTCTAATTTGCAAAATATACGGTCTGGGTCCTTAAAACCCGATGGGTTTTAAATGCAGAGAGAAAAGTCTCAACATTCTAAAATACAAGGAATTTTTTTTAAAAAATCCCTGACATTCTTGTAGCAAACAAGTCTGTTGACAAGAACAAGACAGAAACCTCAAGCAGTCATATACAAATTGGGTGGAAGTGTCAATCCCAGGCTAAGCTGGTATCAAGAGAACAGCTTGCCAGGTCACAATCCAGCAGTCTGAAACACTATTCAAAAAAATAATAATCCTAATTAAAAATATGATATGAACAATAATAAAGCCTAACTGGAAAATATCCTCACTTCTGGCAATCAATCCAAAGTCACAGAGGTTGAAAATATATATGTTCATATTGAACCTGCAGTTGCAGTATTAAATTTTAAACAATCACTGGCAAGATAATGTCTGGACAGAGGCTTAGTATTATTCAGTATTTCCTGTCATTGCTGTAGGGAAAATTCACTATGTTATTTTTCATTGTGAAACAGTGGAAATCAAGTTCAATGATATACCAGCTGAACAAAGTAGGACAACATAGACCATATAGTAGTGCTTAAAAGTTTGTGAATCTTTGAATTTTCAATATTTTAATATGACCTAAACATTTCCTAAAACATAATATCCTATGAAAATAATGTTCCACAGAGGGATGACGAAATCAAACACAAATTGTTGGCCTAGAGCTTTATTTATCTATTACTGAATCTATTTGGCACCCCAAAGGTGAATCTGAGTGGCTTACAGTGCAATAAAATATGCAAATATAAATATAAAAACAGATTAAAATTATGAAAAAAATCATGAAAATATTTACATTTGGCAAAAAAGCAAAGACTACATTCCAACATAAAAACCTTATCTCATCTGTGAAACATGGTAGAGGTAGTCCTAAACTTACCTGCTTAGCAACAGTCAAACAGTTTACAACAGACATTCTCCAAAGCCACTTATGACTTGGTTTTGAAGTTCTAATAGCCTATCACCCCCTGAGGTCACAAGGTCACATTTTGGGAAGTTGGCAAACAGTCTGCATTTACAGCCATTTGCAGTGTCCCACAACCACATGACCACAATTTATTACTTTTTTGCCAAAAACTGGCCTTTATTTCCAGGTGTTTCCCAATAGGAACAAGGGATTTGCTTAACAAATGTGGCATTAACTTAGACACTGTGATGTTTGTTTATCCATCACTGCAAAAAGGACACAAAATTGGATGCAGTCACATGGTGATCTGCTTAATACATAATTCTGGGATGAATTACAGTTGTAAATCAAATATTATCTTAGTGTGTTTTCACGGTTTTGGCTTGGTTTGCTACCTAGTATTTAGCATTTATTTGATTTGTCAATCACTTACAAGATACAGGTATAAGAATAAATAGTTTTGAATACATGAGATAGAAACTTATAAGAAAAATAAAAAACAGTAGGACAGGGACGGTAGGCACGATTGATGCGCTTATGCACCAGGCCTCTTAGGAAGGGGATGAGGTCGATAGTAGACAGTCTAAGTGTTAAGTTTGGGAGGTCAGGCTCATAGAGACGAGAGACTCAGATTAAGTGAACAACAGCTCTTTATTTACTGGATAGATCTGAGTGAGTAAGCAGCACTCACGGCGGCTCTTTTATAGAGCTCACCGCAGCTTGGCGGCCAATGACACCGCTTTGAGTTTCCCGCGATTGGTTTCAACCAATCGCGGTAGACTCCTAGTGAGCCAATCACGACCGCCCAGACTGTCCAATCACGTAACAGTTTAAGTGGGCACATAGGAATGCAGGGTTTCAAGCCTGCTAATATGGAACACTAAGGTTAAAGGTTTGGGGGTTTCGGGAAGAAACCACAGAGTCAGATAGAGTATTCCAAACATTGACCACTCTGTTGCTGAAGTCGTATTTTCTGCAGTCAAGTTTGGTACAGTTAACCTTGAGTTTGTATCTATTGTGTGCTCTTATATTGTTATGATTGAAGCTGAAGTATTCATTTGCAGGTAAGACATTGCAATGTATGATTTTATATACTATATTTAGATCGGACCGGAGGCGGCATAGTTCTAGGTTTTCTAGGTCTAGAGTTTCAAGTCTGGTGGCATACGGTATTCTGCAATGAGGAGAGGAGAGGAGAACTCTTCTTGTGAAATATTTCTGGACTTTCTCAACTGTGTTAATATCAGATACGTAATGTGGTTTCCAGACTGATGAGCTGTATTCAAGTATAGGTCTAGCAAATGTTTTGTATGCTTTAATTAGTAGTGTGATATTACCAGAGACGTAGGATTAGATTAACTACTCTTAATGCCTTTTTGGCTATGTAGTTACAGTGGTCTCTAGCACTTTGATCATTTGAGATGAGTACTCCAAGGTCCTTGACAAAGTTTGGATCCTCAACAAGGTCTTGACTTTATTTTATTTTCTGAGTTTTTCTACCAATATGTAAGACAGAGCATTTATTTGTTGAGATTTGAAGTTGCCATTGGATTGACCATTCTGATACATAGTCAAGGTCTTTTTGGAGGGTAGTAGTATTGTCTGTGATGTTGAATAACATCATCAGTGAAGAGAACACAGTTGCTCTTAATATGATCACAGAGGTCATTTATGTAGAGTATGAAGAGAGTTGGTCCTAAAACAC